ATACACACATACAGCAACCACCTCTTTTTTATAATAGTATAGAAGATAGATTGTTGGGAGGGCGGCGTTCGAGAGTCCTTTTGGGCTAGCCGCCACTGAGCGATACGTAGCTTTTGGCTTCCAATTAACATTTGTATAACGGCTAAAAACATCGTAGTGTGGTGAAAACAGTTTTAACTGACTACTTGATCCCCGTGTGTAGGACCCACAGTTAGTATTTAAAACACCCCCCCGCCGCAGCAAACCTGCAGACTAAGCGAATTTCAATTTGTCTGATTACATTTTTACTAAAATATTTTCATAAATAAGACATATTTATTCAATATTTAAATAACCTTAGATTTAACGAGTGCTTAGGTTTGCTGCTACGGGGAAGGTAAAAAGTGTTTTTGGACCATACTTCAGGGCATATTTTAAGGAATTTTCACTGGGCGACATTTCCGGGGGGTATGGAAAACCCCCCAAGTAAGAAGGGGGGTCCAGGGGTCCCCCCCCAGAATTTTTTTTCATAAATTATATGAAAACCACACATTTTTACGCATCTTTTGATGATTTTTCCTATTATATTTGCTTTATAACAGTCCATATAATTTCACTTAATCACGTGTTTTACAACGACTTAACAGGCCAAGGCTCTCTTCACAACCTCTTGGACAAAAATCATTGCTCAATTTCAAAAGTGTACTACTACAAACATTAAACAATTTGTGAACACAAACATGTTTAAAATATCTACGTAAACCTAAAACAAAACTGCACAATATAGATTTCCATTTTTTATTTTAGACAGGGAAAAATCATAATCATAATTATTAATTGTTACGGATTTATGTATAAGTAGCCTAGGATACAAAATTATCTGTAATGATAATTATGATTATGATTTTTTACCTGTCATAAAATCTTTTAACATAAGCGTAAATCTTTTAACATATATTTCCTCAATTTACAATTTTCGCATAAAAAAAAACATTTAACAGTAGTTTTCTACTTTCATAAGTGAGATTAAAAAACCCCAATTCTTTTATAAATGTTTTATTGCACACAACAAACAATCGTCAGGAAATACTTTGAAAATAACACAAAGCTTTAAAGAGTAATAAAATTACTAAGATTGCATCAATACTTTTTACAAAGAAATAAGTAGCTTTCTGATTAAAAGAATTGAAGAAGAACATTGAATTTAAGGCCCCTATTAGACGAGGTAGCCTGGCGACGCACTGGCCACCAAACCTAGTAGCCAGTTGAGTAGCTAGAATTTTACCGCCGTTACTCATTTTGTTGTGAGTGCTTGTCTTGTACTTGTACTTGTTATGAGCGGTATGTTTACAGTGAATAATGAGTGATTATAAGTATCTTCTCCTTCTGTTACTTCTGAAGAAAAGGAGGCAAAGGAAGAGAAAAATATACGTTCATCCAATGCTTAGTGCAAGAGAATCGAAAGGGTTATATTACACCCTTTTTGATGAGCTCTGTGCGGACAATACAAAATTTTTCAATTATTTTCGTATGTCACAATCCAGTTTCTTCGAGTTGTTAGGTCTCATAAAGGATGATATAACTGGAACTGATACTGCAATGATGAGAAGATGTATTACATCCGAGGAGATGTACTACACCCGAAGATGTATTACACCTCAATTTTACATGTTTGTTGCTATACTCCTCTACAGCACAGTTCCAAATACAAGGGTGTTTTTCGATTTCACTAATAAAGTCTTCAGTGTTCAACTTTGTGTCGGCCAACTTCTGACACTTTTTCATGAGCTCTTCTTGCTTTTTATTTGCTTCTTTCTTTTGATCGCCTATCGGTGGCTCTTCTTGCTTTTTCTTTCATTCTTTCATTTTGTTCGCCTTTTGGAGGTTCTTCTTTTTTCTTCATATCTTCGCGTATCCCTTCGACTGAATCAGATGTAGACATTTTATCAACTGAAGTGAACAATTCACCCACTCACAACACAACAGTGTGCAAGTACCCCTGTGATATGAACTGACCGAGTGGCGACGTGATACTGGCGACCTAGTGTAATAAGCTCCATATGCTACAACGCAGCGTCGCCAATATGGGTAGCCAGTGGCTACCGCAGTGGCGACTGGGCTCGGTAGCCAGTCGGTCGCCAAAGTGTGGCTGCGTCGCTGGCTACCCTCGTGTAATAACATCCATAAGAATCAATGACCCTTGACAAGCTGAGTAGCCAGTTTGGGCGCTGGCGACGTCGCCAGGCTACCTCGTCTAATAGGGGCCTAAAGGTAAGGTGTTTAAAGGTTACTGTACTGAATTTGAAGGTTACTTTACTAGTCACACCGATGATGCAGCTCATTCAGAGTAGCCTTAAAAAGTAAACATATACAAGCCGAGGTCTGTGTCAGCAGGTGAGCGGGGAAGGGAGGGGGGAATCAAGTAGTGACATGAAAATCAGTACAGACCGCATCGCTATCTTATCTGCTTCCCCTCCCCCTCCCCAGCACACATGCACTCGTCCATCCTTTGTCAGCCTGCCAACCAGTCTTTCTCACTCTCTCTCTCTCTCTACCCCCCTCTCAATTACTCTCTCTCTCTCTCTCTTTCTCTGGCTCGTTTAAAATCAGAAAAAGCGTGGCAGTTTCATGTTAATCACTTGTTTACTTAACGGAAGAAGTTGAGAACACTCTAAAATATTTACACAATGTTATTTTTTTTTATTATTTTATTATTTGTATTATTATTATGATGAAGAACTAAAACACTTCCTGTCCTACGAACTGGGTCCATACTCTTTCTTGTTGTTTGATAATAACGGTTTGCACAAGGAACCAAATCAAATATTTATAGGCCTAAAGCCCCTGTCCCCATTGAAAACAAGCACTTCCATGGTCAAGTGCAGTATGTTATTGATGGTGAGTTCCTACTACACAAAAGTTATGGCCAGAGCATCAACCTTTCAACCACCAAAAACCAAGCATCAACCAAGAAAAACTTAATCGACAACATACTCACCACTCCTTGCCTTGCTATAAGGAAGAAAACTGTAGGCAGCTGAGAATATTCAATAATTTATTTTTTTTACTTTTATAATCCCGATACATGTGAGTCATTAAAAAAAATATGCCGGCACTACCCATAGCCACTGGGCGACAAAATCTCGGCACTGGGCGACACAAGTGTCGCCCGGTTAACATGTTATTTTATGCCCTGCCATACTTCAATAGTGTAGGATGAAATAAATAAATTTGAAATTGTTATCAATATATACCCATAGACAAGTAAACTACAACAGTTTTCATTTTCTCCATAAAAGTAACAAGGGAATTTTAAATTACACTATTTTTGAATTTTCTCCGTAACCGTTAGGCATACAACAGCGCTTCAATATACAAATTAAATTATTTATTTTTTTAAGCTCTACAAAGCGGTTTAGAAAGAAATTGCAAAATATTTTTGTTTTTAGGGTCAAATTGGGAAAACCCTATAAACCCCCATTCCTATGGTCCGAATATGCTGGTTCGCGAACTCGTTCGAATAAACGTCTACGTAATTTTTCCTACAGGTTTACACGTTTGTACCAAATTTCATCAAAATCTGATCATAACGGACACACATATATATATCTATATATATAAAAGGCAAAGCCCTCACTGACTGACTCACTCACTCATCACTAATTCTCCCACTTCCCACTTACCTAGGAGGCTGAAATTTGGTACACTGATTCTTTAGGCATTAAATAGGTCAACTAAGTGGTTTTTATTCTGATCGGACTCTCGGGCTCCGCCCCAGTGGTTCTAGAGTTTCCCATGTTAACCTGATGAGTACTCATATTTAAATGGAATTAATTAATCTTAACAGCTGTTTCAATTAAACAAGTTGGTTCTGTTCTATGATGTTAAATAGCATTAAAGTTACAAGGATTACCAACAGAGTGCAGCACTGTTATTTTTTAAATATTTTACAACAGCTAATTTTAAACCAAAAGTGAGTGAGCGTAGCGAACGAACTTCAACCCGGAGGCGAGTTAGCGTAGCGAACGAGCTAACCTGAAGGCAAGTGAGCGCAGCGAACGAGCTCCAACCGTAAAGGTGAGTGAGCGTAGCGAACGAACTTCAACCAGGACGTGTGAGCGCAGCGAACGAGCTCCAACCTAAAGGTGAGTGAGCGTAGCGAACGAACTTCAACCAGGTCGTGTGAGCGCAGCGAACGAGCTCCAACCTAAAGGTGAGTGAGTGTAGCGAACGAACTTCAACCAGGACGTGATTGAGCCATGCGAACAAGCTCACATATGAAGTTAAACGGGGCAAAGCCCGCGGGTACAGCTAGTAATTCTATAAATATATAGGCCTAAACAGCTGTTAAGATTCATTAATTTCATTTAAATATGAGTACTCATAAGGTTAACATAGGAAACTCCAGAGCCACTGGGGCGGAGCCCGAGAGCCCGATCAGAATAAAGACATAAACAGCTTAGTTTTCCTATTTAATGCCTAAAGAACCTAATTTCAGCGGAGATCTAGACCAATGGCCCGCTTGGATAGCTGAATACAGGCGATCTACTGAAATTAATGACTACACTGATTTAGAGATAAATATATAGGCCTATATATATAAAATATATATACATATATATATATATATATGAATTTGAACGGATGGTGTTTTTGGCCTCTATGGACCTCAAAACAACAAATTAAATCGGTCCCGGGTCCAGGTCTTACCATGAGTAATACGGTAATAGCTTATTCCCTATATGGGAAATTTGCTAAAAAGAAGCTGAATATGATTTTGATTTGAACAAAAGATTTTTTTGAATTTGAAAGGTGATCTTGAAAATGAATTCAGAATTACCCTCTTCATTTATTACTGAATTATTAACCGTAGGAACTGTTTTAGTTTACTTAATTTAACATATTCTTAGCATCTTTGCACAACTTGTACAAGCAAGTGTACAAGTTTCAATTATCTTTTTCTGAATTTGTATCATCATTGTTGAAATTACAAAATTCTAAAAGAATGGTTTCTTACTCAGGATACTTGTGATGATCCTCAAGTTTTAGAAATGGAGTTAGCGTTTGAACGAAGTCAAACTGAAAAGAATCGACTGGACCTTAAAGACAAGCTTTTAGATCATCTCTCATTAAGCAAGGATGCTCATTTCAAGAGCCAACAAATTGGAGAACCAGATTTAAATCAAGCCGAAAAGCGTAAAATTGCTGAAAATGTTTTAAAGCACAGTCCTGGACTATTTCTTGCCAGATTTGGAATACACTTACTTGAAGAACATCTAGATTATTTTGACACTGACATGCCTTCTCAAGAAGCTTATGAAGTTTCTTATCACATTAAACAGCTGAGAAAAAACCATTGCAGAACAGTTACTAAGGTAATTTGCATCCACTTATCTAACATAGTTTTCCCTGCATGTTCAAACTTTTGGTGTCCTAGTATGTTATTAATAATAACAGAATTTTAGTTTGAATCAGGATATAAATCTAATTATTATAGTCTTGATTGATAATTAGTATTATTTGTTTATTATTGGTTTGAGAAAAACCTTTATGCTTGCTATATATTTAGTTATGTAACATATAAACTAAAGGACACATGCTGCTCCGCAGCGTGAAAATAAATATAATATCCGAGATATAGGTAATCAAATTTATGATTTTTGATTGAGTATTACAGTATCTTGAGCTTAACTGATTCAAACGATCAATAGCACAAATCAAAGCTTATAATTTACTGATTATTTTGAGTCTAAAACAAAAAACATGAACAATACTAGAGCCATTGATTTTTAATCATAGAAAAACCTCATGAAAAATAATTTTTATGTTGGTTGTTCACCTTGGGTTTGCTTGAAACTCATCTGATTTGAAAGCCGGTATTTCACTGAAGGTTCTTATACCAAAATATATAGGATTATATAATTATAACTGGTGAAAACATGTTAAATTGAAGTACAAATTTGAAAATGAATCAACTGATGTTTTATAGTCGAGTAGCCTAATACAGTAGGTAAATATAAAAGATGCTTGAAGTGAGATCTTTGCGTGCATGATTCAATTTTAAACCTCAATCATGAAAATCGGTCAGGTAGAAGAGCCAAACGAACTTGGAAAAGAAAAACCAAATTTAACTTAATAAGAGATTGGGGAGCAAATTTTGTTTACGTATAAGCCGAGAGGGGTTATAGATAAATATATGCCGATGCTTGATGTGAAATCTGTTTGTGCATACCTTGAATTTGAGATCTCAATCATGAAAATCGGTCGGGTACCCCGAAGAAGTCCATGTAAAACCATCTTTCAGGCTTTTCAAGTTTTAACATTTTACGACCTATATATTTTAGAAGCATTATTTTGGGTTTTCAACAATTTGTCCATTTTCAGGGAGAGTCACACAAACCACAAGTATAACACTAGACATAAGAACCTAATTAAGCCCACTAGCCATAGATTATCACTATTTGAAGCATCACCTCAATATATTGGAACGAAAATGTACAACTTAGTTCCTGATAATTTAAAAAAACATCACTAATCCAAATAAATTTAAAAAAGAATGTAAAAACTGGTTGCTAACCAAAACATTTTATTCTTTAAATGAATTTTTAAGTGGAAATTGAAATTGGTAGGATTTTAAGTATTAAAATTATTTTGTTTTAAATTGAATATTATTGTTTAGCTTTAAGTATTATAATGTAATTGACAAATGTCGTGTCATTTTGTGATGTAATGGCATTCTGTAAATAAATAAATAAATAAATAAATAAAATCCTATAAAGGCTATAAAGGTTTAATTTTGTTTTTAAAAGGCTTATGTGTAACTATTTTATCAACAGATGTAAAGATCAAAATGTTTCTATTTCATGTTCTCTTCCCGTTGCAAAGCACGAGTACAGCAGCTAGTTCTCCATTAGAATAACAAGAGAATTTTAAATTAAAATTTTTTTTGAATTTTCTCCGCAACCATTAGGCACACAATAACGCTTCAATATACTAAATTATTTTTTTTTTTAAGCTCTACAAAATGGTTTGGAAAGAAATTGTGAAATTTTGTGTTTATAGGGTCAAAAATGGGAAAAACCGATTTTACCCCATAAAACCCCCCATAAACCCCCGTTCCCATAGTCCGATCATGCTTGTTCGCGAACTCGTTTGAATAAATGTAGGTTTACACGTTTATACCAAATTTCATCAAAATCGGATCATTTTTGCTTAAATTATCGTGCTAACGGACACATATGTATATAAATATATATATCTATATATATAAAATCCAATGTATGTTTGTCCTTTATGGACTCCAAAACCGCTCAACAGATTGTAATGAAACTTTCAGGCATTATTAAGCATTATTCAAGGATGGTTTGTGTGAAGTTTGGTGCAGATCCGTCAAAAGGGCTTCCGCCCCAGTGGCTCTGGAGTTTCCCATGTTAATCTTATGAGTACTCATATTTAAATGGAATTAAAGAACCTTAACCCACTGGAGACTTTGCACGAGACTGTCTCGTGATGGGTTATGTTGGCCCAAAAGCCTCATCACGAGACTATCTCGTGATGACGACATAGCATTATTATTGATTTTTTAAATAATTAATTGTTGCGTAGTTACTAAGTTTTATGTATTGAAATGTTTCTCAAGAGATATAGTTTAAATAAAAAATGATTATTTAAGAATAAACTAAAAGTAATAAGTAGAAAACAAGTAACAAAAAGTGTAAAAATATTACGTCATTGAAAGTTGTCATTACGTAACAGCTGATTTGTTTTATTTGTTTTAAGTCTACAGTTTTACAATAAAATTGTTTTCTTACTCTCTCTGTAATATTAGAAACTGACAAGGGATGTTATTTTCATTTGTATGGTTGACAATATGGTGCAACAGATGTGATGTGATTGTTTACATTCTTGATTTTCAGACCTTTGTGTTTGTTTGTGTTCGTATTTTCAGTGGTGATAAGTCATTATAACTTAGTTACGGGTTTATTATTATGTTTTATAAATGGAAGCCAACAAACTAATTTGATCGCATATTCTCGAGTGAGATTGACAGCCTTTAGTGCGAAAATGAAAGTGAAAGTGACGGCGAATCGGGCGGCGTAGGCCTAGTGGTGATGAGAGGGTAGACAGTGTTTTACATAAATAGCTGTAAAACATAGACTATTGTAGATATAATTACAAATTAAAAATTTTTATGTAGGGAATTGAATAAAGTAAGGAAATAAAAGCAAGAAATAGTTTAAAAAAAATATTTATAATAAATTCTTTGACATTGCTTTTGAAAAATATTTATAATTTTTTTTTATTTTCATTTTGAAAGATAAAAAAAAATATTATTGTTATTTTTTTTACTTGAAACATATTTATTACAATAGGAAATTTAATTTTATTCAATTTACATACAACTTTTATCTATTTAAGTTAAAAAGTAAATTTTTTATGAATTTTTTACTGAAACACTGCAAATTAGCCATTTTTTAATGGATTCTAAAGGCTATGCTATTGAACACTGTAGTGTCATTCATATGCCTTTGCATTTAACATATGTTTTATAATTTAGTTTGTTGTTGTGGTGATGATGACTCTTGTTGAATAATAAACACAGTCTTTACTTGCAGCATTTATTACAATTTTATATTATCTTACATGGTGTCAGGTTCAGGTTGTGAAATAAACATTTAAAACATGCCAAGACCTAACAAAAAATCTTCTAGAAAGTCAAAAAAGGAAGTGGACGAGTTTACAACTGAAGATTCTGGAGATGAGGCAGTTGGTCCACGACATAGAAGTAAGTTTCAAATAGGCTCTGATAAATCTATGAAAATGATTAGTACCCAATCAAAGCCAGCACCAATAGTGATAGGTCTACAGGCACCACTAAGTGCTCCTGAAATATTTGATTTTACCAACCCAGCTATGTGGCCTGTATGGATTAAGCGGTTTGAACGTTACAGGCAGGCATCAGAGTTGTATTTAAAACCGGACCACCAGCAAATAAGCACCCTTTTATATACTTTAGGGCAGGAAGGTTGTTTAATAGACAAAAGTATCTTTATTACTGAACTCAATCTTTTTTTTTTTTTTTTTAAGATTTTATTAACCGATCAGCATTTCATTGCTATACAGGTTAGGTATAATATAAGAAAGACAAAAATAACATTATTAATTACATTAACATGGATAGAGGTCAGCTTAGCCCCTCAGGCACTTATTGTCACTGTTTTAGCGGGTCGGACTGTAAAGGCACTGTCCACCTATGAAACACAAATCAATGAAAAAAAAAAAATGGTTATAATAAAACATCTTGAGGCAATCTGGGTTTTAGTCGGAGTCTCTGGATTTCAGAAGGTTGGCAGTTTGATGGAAAAGATTGGCGTCCATTAGCATTTGCATCGAGGACATTAACAGAAACAGAGTCAAGATATGCTACCATTGAAAAAGAAGCTCTCGGCTTAACTTGGGCTTGCAAAAGATTTTCTAGCTTTATTCTTGGTAAAAGGTTCCAGCTTTACACAGATCATAAGCCTCTGACTGAGATAATGGGTTCAAAGCCGATCTCTGATCTTTCTTCTCGGCTGCAACGTGTTCGTATGAGATTGCAAAATTTTGACTACGAAGTTGTTCACATCCCGGGGAAAGAAAATGTAACTGCAGATTTACTATCAAGAAGCCCTGAAATTTCACCAATGGATCGGGAGAATGAGGTTATGGAGAATCTGGAGGAAGAAATGTTTGTAAGAAGCATAATTGATGCATTGCCTTGTTCTGATAAACGGCTGTTGGAAATTAAGAATGCCCAACATGAAGACCCGGAAGGACAGGAGCTCTTAAAATGCATCCAAGAGAATACATGGCGGAAAAACTCGGTATTCTGGAAGTATCGCAATGAACTCGCTTTGGAAGATGGATTAATTGTTAAGGGAAGGAGGATGTTCATTCCAAAGGCCTTGAGAAAAGAAATCTTATCTAGATTACATGAGGGACATTTGGGTATAGTGAAATGTCGGCGGCGTGCTCAAGAATCTGTTTGGTGGCCAGGCTGTTCAACAGAAATTAGTACTACAGTGGAAAATTGTCCAACATGTATAGAACACAGACTGCAGCGAAAGGAGCCTCTGATGTCTACACAGCTTCCTCAAGAGCCTTGGACCCATTTATGAACAGATATTTTGAAATGTAACCAAAACTGGTATTTGGTAATACAAGATTATTTCTCACGATTTTTAGAGCTCATCGAACTCAATACTTTGACTTCAGCGGCAGTTATTGGAAGGATGAAAAACATTTTTGCACGACACGGGATCCCTCTAGAAATTCGTACAGATGGAGGTACTCAGTTTACTTCTGACGAGTTCAAAGGTTTCGCAAAAGAGTACGGATTTAGAGCTGTAACTAGTAGTCCACACTTTCCTCAATCGAATGGAGAAGCTGAAAACGCTGTATCTATAGCCAAGAGGATTCTACTAAAGTGTCCGGATCCCAATCTTGGTCTATTAGCTTACAGGACCACCAAATTGGAATCGGGGTTATCACCTGCAGAGCTGCTGTATGGTAGAAAACTAAGAACAACTTTACCTTCGCTCAACGACTTTCAAGTGGTTGGAAAAGATAAAATAGAATCCTTTTGAAACTGTGACAAGAAAATAAGAGACAGAGTCAAGAAAAACTTTGACAACAGAAGAGGCGTCAAAGAACTTCCACCTTTAGCAGTAGGAGAGAGGGTCTGGGTTAAAGATATAAGTGCGAAAGGAACCATAAGAACAACAACCAATCTACCTCGATCCTACATAGTATCATTGAGTAATGGGAATGATGTAAGACGAAACAGATGGCATCTCATTCCCCTACCAAGAAAAGAGAATGATGATTCTGACGATGTCTACCGTGGAAGGAGGGTGCAGCCAAACCACAATGATGGAATAAGAAGATCGAGCAGAACTATCAGACCACCAATAAGATATGAGTAAATATAATGAGGAAGGGGAGATGTAGTGTCATTCATATGCCTTTGCATTTAACATATGTTTTATAATTTAGTTTGTTGTTGTGGTGATGATGACTCTTGTTGAATAATAAACACATTCTTTACTTGCAGCATTTATTAGAATTTTATATTATCTTACAAACACAAAACCAAGTCTCCAATGGGTTAACAGCTGGTTCAACTAAACTATCTGATTCTGTGATGTTCAATAGCATTAAAAAGCTAATAGGTTTACCAACAGGGTGCAGCACTATATTTTTTTTTAATTTATGAGAACAGCTAATTTGCAACCAAAAGGTGAGTGAGCGTAGCGAACGAACTCCAACCTGGAGGCGAGTTAGCGTAGCGAACGAGCTAACCTGTAGGCAAGTGAGCGCAGCGAACGAGCTCCAACCTAAAGGTGAGTGAGCGTAGTGAACGAACTTCAACCAGGACGTGATTAAGCCATGCGAACGAGCTCATCTTGAAAATGTACGAGCATGTGACATAAAACCACAATAGGACAGGACTACGTCTGTCGGGCCAGCTAGTAATATATAAATATTATATATATATATAAATTTAAACAGATGGTGTTTTTGGCCTCTAGGGACCTCAAAACGAAAAAGTAAATCGGTCCCGGGTCCAGGTCTTACCATGAGTAATACGGTAATAGCTTATTCCCTATATGGGAAATTCGCTAAAACCAAGAGAGATCAATAACCTCGGGACTTGATTTACGCATTTAGTTGGTCGGATATACTATAGTTCTTAACTGTAAACCTTGGATTTTGGTACTGGTTCTTTTCCTTAGAACTGGTTCTTTTCCAGTAATAGTAAGCCGTCATTTCAACATCATTTCGTGTCATATTGGGACTAAGAAAACATTAATTGTTATGATAAATCTTGGTGACACTAATGTATATGTACTTTGCTTTGGTTAAAGCGTAGCAAATTCCCTAATTAAATTTTGCGTGTATGTCTGTTGGTAGCGCATATTTCTCAGTGTTCCGTACGGACAGGACAAGAGCACCTTTTATAGTGAAAATTTCAACTGTAATGTTTAATAGTGAGGTTGAGGTAGTATTTTAACTATTTTTAAACATTGTGGAAAGTAGCTTTCAATCATAGGCCTACTTTAGAACTATCCCTCATAGATCTATAAATAATTTTTTTCACTTGGAACTGTCAGATACTGTATTTGTTTAGTTTAGCCAGCATATCTGAAAATATGCAAATTAACTGCTGTTCTTTATATAAGAAGGTTTCAACTGACTACTATAAGATCCCCGTGCGAAGAACGGGCACACAGCTAGTAAACAATAAAAGGGATGGCAATGCCTTAATATTTTTATTTTCAGTTCTATACCCACACTATCTAACATAAATTATTAGTGAATAATAATCGTGCGTGCTATCTCGGGTATTTAAATGCCTCTCAATTTGTCATTAACCCACCACATTAGTGTCATTAAAAGAAGGAACTCCAAAAAACCTAATGCAAAACTTAAATCCACCAAAGCTGTGCGACGTGTCCAGACTGACGATTAAAAAATTGACACCAAAATTAATTGGAGCAAAAATTATCAGTGGTAAGTTTAAAGGAGAAATAGTCTTAATCCCAAAAATACTGATGATTTCATCCAAATTACCCTCTGAATTTAAGCAACTACAATTTCCTTTGTGTCTTGCTTTCGCAATCACCATTATAAGGCACTAGGGCAACCCCTGACTATCGTCGGTTTAAATTGAGAAAATGCATGCTTTTCAAACGGACAGCTGTATGTTGCATGCTCACGTGGTGGTAGGTACGCTTAAAATCTTATATATTTATACACCTAATGAAAAAAAATTGTTTATCCACTGGCAATTAAGTAAAATATTCTATTTTATTTTTGGTTTACACTTTTATTATTCATCGTAAAGAACAAATTAACATTTAAAATAATAGTTTTTAAGCGCAGCAATGCATGCCGGGTAACTGCTAGTTCTGAATAAAATTGTACAACATTGCTGTAAAAATTACGGTTCAAAAGTTGTAACTTAGGCTATTTTCCCATAAAATAAAGGAAATTCAGATTTAAAAACAACTGTTTTTGATTAAAATTTTTTTGTTTTCCTCATAATTCTAAACAAAACAGTGCAACTCCCCATAGCTGTAAAAATTACGGTTCAAAAGCTATTGCAACTTTTGTGATTTTCCCTATAGAATAATAGTTACTGTACTCCCATCACTTACCCATGATAGAGGTTGTTGACAAGCGAATGTGAGAAAGTATGTGCCAGATTGCTGATGCCGTTAATTTTATAATTGATCTTTACTTCGTTATTAGTCGTGGTAGCCTAGTCATCAGGATCTTGGATTTCAGTGTCAGTGTGAAAGGAACAGGTTTGATTTGAGGTACAGCAGAACTCAAAATATCCTAACTCCAACTTTCGGAATTAGTGATTATACTAATAGCTTACAGAAGCTAAAGTAATAAGAATCACTATTAAAGAAGGCAAAAGCTGCGGTCATTTAAACATCATCAACAATTCCTGGAGTCCTGGTAGGGACTCCTGGGTTCTCGCAAAATCATCATCTTTGTGATAGCAGCAAAATCTTAAATATCTACCACGGTCTTGTGGATATCACTATTGATCATCTCCCCCCAGTCATGGAGACATTATTGTCGTTTTCTGTGATTGCTGTAAACTCCTGAACATCTCCTGCAGTCACAGAAAATCATCATCCTATGCAATCTTGGCAAAAGTGTGAGTTTGTTTGATCGCAGAACCTTTGCAGACATGTTCTGCTATGGTGATAGTAAAAAGCTCAGGCCTATTTTCTATAAAATACCACAAATTTCAGCAAACATCCCACTATCCCAATACAGTCCACTCTTGGTAATTCAAACACTCAATAAATTAAAACTTTCAATAATTCAAAATAAAAGCTCAGCTCATAGAGAATCTATCGATATTTCAAATTTTTACCAAGTATTTTGATACACTCGGTATTTCAAAGTCCAAATAAAAGGCAGGTAAATTTGAAACACGCAGTAATTCGAAGTTTTTGTCGTTTAACACTCTATAATTCGAAGTCATGCAGTAATTCAAATTTTTGTCAGCAAAACATTCTATAATTCAAAGTCAGGGCACCCTTCATGTTACATTCCCTACATGTTATACATTTTGTTCCACAGTAGTTTTGGACGTTTTGATGTTTAGTTAGAGCAGTAGGTAATTATCGTCTGGTTGACAGTGTTTGCGGTCAAGCACAATTTTGAGGTTAGGTTCCTTCCACAATTTTTACAGTACATTCATTACCGGCTATTCTATTGCATGTCATTAGATCCAAGCCTAAACCCCACACTATAATACATTTTTAACAATCCCTTAATCCCTACCACCGAAAAATCTGAAAACAAATTATACCAGATTGAAGTTTAATACTGCAACAATAAGCGGCAACCGAAACAACATCTCATGGTAGTGGCCAACCTCGCATTGGAAGTTGGAACAATAGTTTGTAAACGGTGCTTTGACAAATGAGTTTACTCGTTGAGCGTCGGCGGTAGAACTCTCTGTAATTCGAATGGTTTATTTTTCCCCCGATAAATCAAACTCTTGATCATTCAAAACTCTTGATAATTCAAATTGATTTGGTTGGCCCACCAATTTCGAAATATCAAGAGTCTACTGTATTTGACTTTCCGAATGTGGTATGGTCTCATTTTACTCTGATAAATGGATTATATCTAGAAATATTTCAGCTTTATGATCTTTGAAAGTGTTTATTATTACAACAGTTCCACTGGGATAGATTCTAGCAAAAGATAAATTAGCCTAATAAGGATTCAGACCAATTTAATTAGAAAGTCTTATAATAATATTAACTTTGATCAAGGTATATATGAACTGTTCTTGAGTTATTATATACTTGAAAGTAAGGTAATTATTATTTTTTTCTGAAAGGTTGGGATAAAGAATAGAAGGTTTGAAGCTTTAAAGAAGATGGTGGAAGAAGGCTCTTACTTTTGTGAAAGTGAGATGCGAAATCGGAACCCGCTGCTCTATGAGCAGTTAGTTGGAAGATTCTTGACTCCTGATGAACGAAGAGAAAGGATAGACAATATAGACACTACTAATATTACGTAAGTGTTACATGAATATTAAAATGATGCTTCAGCAGATCTCTTTAGAAGATGGTTGAATTCCATGTTTAGGGCCTCTGGATTTCTATATAATGACTTGGTACTATATCACCTCGTCATGTAATTCAACTTGATGTAGAAATAATTGTTTTACCCACATGCTTTGTAGTTAATGTAGCATAGTCAAGGTAACAAAAAACATAATTATTGACATAACTGTCACAAGCACACAAATAAATAAATATGAATCTAAAAATTAATACTGATGATAGGCCCATCACATTACGGTAACTGTCCCAGTGCAGATAGTAGAACCACCTACTGTGTCTACTACTTTAGTGCCTGTGCTTGGGCAGTCCGCGTTGTGATAGGTCTATTATCATCAGTATTAAATTTCATTTTTATAGTATAGCCTCTGGATCACTGATTTTTACAATAAAAGGTTTAAATTACCTGTATCCGTCAAGTGATCCTGGTTTGTAGTTTGTTGACTACAGCTGTTTCATGTCAATATTAACACCGGTGGGGCACACGGGAGGGACTATGGCTAACATATCTTGTATTGTCAGCGTTCACCGCTAGAACCGCTAAGTTGAAAAAAATTAATTAATTTTATAATTTTTAGTTATAAAATTAACTTTTTAATTATAAAATAAATTTTTAATTATAAAATAAATTTTAAATCATAAAATTAATTATAAAATTAAACTGTCATAACCTAACCCAACCAACCAAACTTGCTGATAATAAAAAAAATTATGATAAAAATCAAATGAATGTTAACTTATAATTTTTAATTATAAAATTCATTTTAAAATTTAGTAATATAAAATTAAACTGTCATAACCTAACCTAACCAACCAAACTTGCTGATGATATAAAAAAGATATAAGATACAAATCAAATAAAGGTTTACTATTAAAAATAAAGTTCTGTTCATAAATAAAATTATAAATGTATCAAATTCCAACAAAAGATGTAGAGTTAAGAAGTAGTCGCATTCAAAGCAAAATCTTTGACAAAAAGTTAGTGTCCCGGCTGGTTTCGAACTGGAGACCACCTGAACACTAGTCAGAAACGCTATCAACTATGCCACGAACGCCGCTGGAATCACATCGTCTCATTACGGTAATCGTGTTGCCTCAAGAGAAGACATTAGCCACTAGAGATATGACGTCACCACACCTTTAGCCATAGTCCCTCTCCTATGCCCATCTGATACCAACACATCTTCAGGTCAAAATGTTGCATTTATTTATTCCATAGAATGGTCATCATAAGGTTTAAAGTTCACAAAAAAATAACACATACACGTACACGAAAAAGTTTAACACTGATTGGCCAAAACACAAAACAAAAAAACGTGTAATAAACATTGGACACGTACAGCGCCAGTAGAAGGTAGGTCATTACTGCAAAACCTTTTATAGTATTAAATTTACTTATTTATCTATAGTCATTTATATAGGATTTTTTGTTTCTGAGCCTTGAGCCGATTTAGCCAACTTTTAAATTTGACTTTATACTTGGGAGCAGAATAGAAAACAAAATTCAAACAGTCATACCTCCAGAGGAGTGGTTTTTGAAACCCTTAAGATATGAACGCTGTCCCTCTCTTTCCTCAGTTATCAATACCAAGATAAATTATTAGTTATTCTACCACTGTAGTAATATAATTGTGGTCTAGTATCAAAGGGTGTAATCTTTGGTCGTATAAATTTTTACAGTCTTATATGTAAATTGTGTCAGTTGAAAAATAATCCTTATCAAAATTAGCCCGTAAGGGAATAAATCACATGACCGCGCATGTGCAGAAAGTTCTGCCCGGCAGCGACTTGCCTCGGGGCATAATTTTGGAGAGCTTCACATTTTGCCCTGCCTCGCCTGGTCCTGTGTGTGGCGCTCCATAAGGCTTAAGTGTGCACATAAATGTGGTTTAAATACCTACATTTAAGTAATCCAATTCGTTTTTTATGTCACAACGAGGTTTCAACTCCGTGGAGTCATCTTCAGGTGTAGAAGGAAAAAAGATGCCATTTCATTGAAGGTCGTCATAGTTTTTAAAACACAAAAAAACTTTTAACACAGACATTGAACTTTTCTCTTTTCCGATAATTCACACTGAAATAAAACTTTGTGTCTATTTTGAGATTGTGTTGCAAAAACTATGATGACCTTCAAAGAAGTGACATCTTTATCCTTGTACACCACACCTGAAGTTGACTCCACAGAGTTGAAACAATTAATTGGATTACTTAAATGCAGGTATTTAAACCACTTTAAATATTCTACAGTAATTTGGAGGAAATACGAGGGTCGTCTCAAAAGTAAGTTACACATTTGTTTTAAATCACAGCGTCGAGCGCTAGAAAGCTGGGAGTCGCGGGGAATTTTCGTCTGGATGTAATGGCAACACTGTAAACGTCGCGGCCGCCTACGGCACTCGCCCCTCCAGTATCGATCCGGCCATCATGGAGACACCACTTGTTCCCACCGCCGATTGTGAAATCCGTGCAGTAATTAGATTTTTGACTGCAAAGAATAAAAATGCAAGTGAAATTCATCGAGAATTGTGCAGTGTTTATGGTGAAAATGTGATGTCTAGGCCAATGGTTTCCCGCTGGCGTCAATCGTTTATTGATGGACGAAAATCGTTACACGATGAACAACGAAGTGGCCGCCCGTCCACTTCCCGCGCTTTGACTGTTGTTGAAGATGTCCGCAAGGTCATTGACACCAACCGGCGCTTGACATTAGATGAAATCATTACACAGCTTCCTCCAAATGTTGAAATTAGTCGTGCGTCGCTTCACAGAATCATTTCGGACGATCTCAGTTTGTCAAAAGTCTGTGCAAGATGGGTGCCACGCCTTCTCTCAGAAAGGCATAAGGAGCAGAGGGTTGATGCTGCTCTCCAGTTCCAACAATTTTTTGATGATGAGGGAGATGGCCTATTCAACAGGATAGTAACCGGGGACGAGACTTGGGTGCACATTTGGACGCCCGAATGCAAGCGGCAGAGCATGGTGTGGAAGAGAAAGGACCAGCCTACTCCAAAAAAGGCAAAAGTTGTCGAATCAGCCGGCAAGGTCATGGCAACGATCTTTTGGGACTCAAAGGGAGTATTGTTGATTGATTACCTGCCAAGGGGGGAAACAATTACAGCTGAACTTTATTGTGAAGTGCTACGTAAGCTGAGAAGGGTGATATAGAACAAAAGGAGGGGAAAGTTGACCAAAACAGTGTTTTTGTTTCACTACAATGCTCGCCCACACACCGCCCGTCAAACACAAGACCTTCTGGAATCCTTCTGATGGGATGTTTTCGGCCATCCACCTTACTCTCCTGACTTGGCGTCGAGTGATTTTCATCTCTTCCCGAAGTTGAAGCGGCATTTAGACGGGAAGTGCTTCGAAAACGAAGACGAACTGAAACGGAAGGTGGAACAATGGCTAACCAAAATGGCGGCAGAGTGGTATGATGCTGGACTAAAAAAACTGTTGCCACGTTATCAAAAATGCCTTGAAAAAGATGCCGACTACGTAGAAAAATAGTCTATATATGTATCTTTTAAAATATACCCTTTTCAAATCAAATTTGGCTTTTTTATTTATTTTGGAAATAGGTGTAACTTACTTTTGAGACGACCCTCGTATATCATTGGCTTTCTCTATTGTAGTTCCCCTGCAATTTTTTGATTGCTGTAACTTCCTGACCCATGTCTATATACTTTTATTATGCTTCTACACTAAGAGAGAAGTAAGGAACAGAGGATACACTTAAGGCTGTGCGTACAAAATATGAATAATTTTGTTTATATATTTTTTACACTGAAACCCGTTTATTGGGTCCTTAGAAGAAGCTACACACTTATAAAAAAAAAATCATTTGTTTTGGATATCACATAATTGGTGCTCAAAGTCAGCTCTTTCCGAGATTTTGGTACATGAATAAGCAAACACCAAATGGTTAAAAAAAATTGTAAAAATACTACACGTTCTCCTACGTTTAGTTTAAAAACCTAAACTAATTTTTATAGCAAAAATCGAAATATCGTTTTTTATAAGCCCAGAGAAACCTGCATTTTGATCCGGCAGTTTTAACTCATCAATTTGAAAATCATATTTACTTGTAGCGGGATTTACGTTTTATAGTTGATTAAAGTATGGTTTGGCTATGTAAATTAGGGACGTCGTGGTTCATGAATAGTCAATAGTCAATGAAAAGTAATTTATTCAATACAATCTTTTATATTCAATAGTATCTTTAAACAATACAATATTGTGATTGATTTTGTCAAAAAACAACTACATACTAATTTTGGCTACATTGTAATTGTCAAGAGACAACATGGCATGTTATAATATTCTAATTTAAGTTCTGAGGATCTAAATTCAATTTTCCAGACTTCATAAACTAATACACAGAATAATATCACAGTACTATAAATTAATATCACAGATTGTGATCGGCTGCATTAAATTAATTGTAAACATGAAAACGACCAACATTAGACATACACAGTGTAAATTATTGATAACTGAGATAGAATTTGTAACAACTAAAAGATGACAATGAAAAATAATACTGAATGGAATCCTAATAATAATCAACAAAGATAAAAAAGTTTAATCAATCTGCAAAATTGATGACTTATAAAACTATATTTCCATGTTTAAAAAATTCTCTGGTAGAGTAAAAGGGGTTTGCAGAAAGCCAGACAGACAATTTCTTTTTGATAACCTTAGAAGGAAGTGATCTTGATTCACAATGCAGGTTGTTAAAAAACCTAATTTCTGACTTTTGACAGTTGATTGCAGTCTACACTGCGGCAAATCAATCAGACTTTTGTTTCTGATATTATAACTATGTAAATCTTCACGTAGCTTACAACTATTTTCATTTTTCTTTATATTAACAAGACAATAAAATATATTAACATTAATAACAGATAAAATACCTGTGCATATAAATAGCGGTTTGCAATGAGCTAGCCAATC